GGCAGGGCCCTCAAGCTCCAAGTTCCCAGCAGGGCTGGTTCCAGCTGAATGATGGCGAGAAGTCCGGTGGTTATAGCTTCCGTGGGAGGAAGGGGTATGGGGTTGGGGGGAGGCCCTAGGACCTTTGCCCAAAAAAAAGACCCGAAGGTAAGAGGAGGTGGGAACCCTAGAACCCTGTGTAGGCTCTCACAGCACCCCGTCTCCTTCCAGGGAGTGCTGCCACCCTTCCCCATCCAGCAGTCAGCACCCTGTTCTCTTGATTACTCTCTGCAGCCTCTGCAGTAGACATTCACCCTGGCTTTTATATAGATAAGAAAACCAAGAGTCCAAGAGATCAGGAAACTTGCCCCTAGACTTGCAGCTCATAGGTAAGGAGCATTGGACCCAGGGCCTCAGATTCCCTGCTCCTTTCACTCTCTGAGCCTTTTCTGATCTTCCAGGAAACTCTCGAGACATTGTTGAGCTTTGCCTCTCCTCCCCTTTGCCTCAGTTCTCCTTGTTGTAAGGCGACAGTCCTCATGTCTGTGCAGTGCCGTCCGCATACCCTGTCCCCAGCTTCCCCTGAGGCCTCCTTGGAGGAAGGTTCAGAGCCTGGAGTGGCCGGTTCTGGGACCAGCTGTGAACATGCCAAGTGGCCTCATGGAGTGTGTACAGTTAGTTTTTGTACCTGCCAGACCGAGGAGAAAAGGACAAAGTTGCTTGGAAAGAATGCCTGACATTTAGGTGTGCTGGTAAATGTCTCACAACCAGTTCTCTGCTTGGCGCTTCGGAAGAGGCCCTGATTTGCGGCGTTTGCCAATCCCCCTGGTGTAAATGCTCAACCGGGCCACTTTCAAGCCACCTGTGGGAGATCAATCTGCTTGCAAAAGTCCTGTAGGTTTGTTTTTGGTTTTTTTAAAGTTTTACTTATTTATTCATGAGAGACAGACAGAGAGGCAGAGACATAGGCAGAGGGAGAAGCAGGCTCCTTGCAGGGAGCCCAATGTGGGACTCGATCCCAGGTCTCCAGGATCAGGCCCTGGGCTGGGGGCAGCGCCAAACCGCTGAGTCACCTGGGCTGCCCAAGTCCTGAAGATTTAAAAGTTGGCTTTTGCAGGCCAGAACAAGGGAGCTGTAGCACATTGTGTCACTTAGGACCATGTCTTGCCCCTGATCCTCTCCCCTGCTCCTGCTCTAGGGGTGATGCCCAGAAACCTCCTCCCAGAACCCCCACAGGTGGCCCTCCTCCCCCAGCCCCTGAAGCAGCTGCTGGGGGCCCTCTCCCTCAGAGCTTCAGTACTTGGGGAAATGGAAGTCCCTGGCTAGGAAAGGGGATCTATTTGGAGGTAAACACTCCTTCTCCAAACCTGGAGGAAATGCAGAGTTTGCTGAGTTGGCCCCCAGAAGCTAAATAAATTTGAGTCATTGTCCTGCTCAGACCAGATCTGGTCTCTCCTGCCACCCCCCGCCCACCTTTCCTGAGCTCCAGGAACAGCCTTTCAGCTGGGGCCTCTTGGGATGCTGGCAATTGACTGCTTTTGATTTATTCTTATTCTGTGCTTTCCTCTGTCACCCAGCAGTCCTGCTAGAAAAGGGAAGTCAGAGGAGAAAGAGCACCTCCCCTCATCCCTCTCTCTCCTAGAAGCCCATCTTCATAGAAGTCCCTTGTGGATTCCTTCAAGGACACGAGGAAACTCAGCCTTACTGGCCAAGGCAGAGCATACCAGCCTCCCCTATGTCTCACCCCTAAACAAGGGGTCTATGTCTGCAGACATAGCTGTGCCTTGCTTGAGAAACGAAGCACATTCTGGAAACCGTGTGTTTAATGACAACAACCACCCCTCCATCTTGGGAGCATCCCAGAGTTTCCAAAGCACTCCTACATACTCCACAGCCTCTAGTCGCAGGCTCTTGTCAACCGCACAGCAGGTGGTGACTGTTAGAGGACCCCGCTGGTGTCTGAGCCTGTCACTGCTGGGACTTCAGATGCCGCCCAGCTAGAGCCTCCATCCCCTGCACAGGGACCCAGCCCATCAGTCTCTGCTCAGTCCCTGCTGTACTGGAAACTCGCCGCCTCCCAGATGGAGCCCGTTCCAGCCTCAAAACACTCAGAGGCTTGGAAACTTATTATTTAGGTTGAGCCCAAATCTGTCTCCAACGTTGTATAGATTGAATGCATTGCTTGTAGTTTGACCCTTTGAGGCCTGCAGAGCAGAACCAATATAATCCAGTCCCTGTTCACCTAGTCAGAGGGGCTCTTGTGTCTCATCTCCCCCATCCCTCGAATCTTTCTTACATGTTCCAGATTCACATACCCCTCCTAGGACATAATGCATAATCCCTTCACCAGCCTGATCAGTTCTCTGAACGTACTCTCCTACACCTGTTTCAGCAGAGAGGAGTGGGACTAGAGGCTTTGTGAGAGTAGTGCCTCTGTTAGTGCATCCTCAGATAGCATTAGGTGAGGCTGCTGGTCTTTTTTTTTTTTTTTTTTTTTTGACAGACACATTACACTTTGGACATATTGAGCTTTCTGTCAACTAAAACACTGCTGTTAAACCACGGCTCTCCTGTTCTGCTCTTATATTATTGATTCTTATTTTTTTTTGGCCCAAGTGTTAGAAGTGTTAAATTCTGACTTATTACATGAGAATTAATCTTATTAGACTTAGCCTGTGGCCAAAATCTGTAAAGATCTTTTGGATCTCGGTCTCATGTCGCCTATAAATTTGCCAAGCATTTCTTCAGCTTCCCTCCCTCCTCTAAATCACTGATAAAAATACTGAAGAAGAAGAAGAAGGCTAAGGAGAAAGCATGTGACTCTGTCCTAGAAGCCTTCCTCACGCTGACCTGGGTCATTTAAATGCCACCTTTACGTTATAGAGTCCTAATCCATGCGGTTGTCCACTGGTATGGCTCTCCGTGTCCTCCACAAGGGTGTCACGGGAGATACCTTGCTGAGGTCACTTACACCATCCATGTCTACATGTTTTCCTCACCTGCAGCATGGCAACCTGTGAAATCCAGAAACTGAGCAACCTGAGAGCAGGCATTCACCCATAACCTCACTGCCTACTTCACACTGTGTCCAGTGCATTGCCAACGACTCGGGAAATATTTGAAAAAAAAAAAAAGATGACCACTTGCATTAGTGGATGAAAGAAACTGGCCCAGATCAACATGAAGATTAGCAGTATTTAGTTTTTCTGATTCCACTTTCTTTCTCTGTTTTGAAAATTGGAACATTTGTTTCTACTTTCCTCCTTACAGCACCTCTTTAATACCCATGGGGCCTAAAATGAGTTTTAGGACCAATTTAGAACCAAGCAAGAACGAATTTGCTTACTGATGAGAAAGCAGGAGTTAAGGAAAGTTAAGGGACTTGCCCAAGGTCAAAGGCTAATAACAGGCAACAGTAGGAATCAAACAATCATATTCTAGCTTGAAGGCACCATGATGCTCTTTCTAGCCATCCATGCTCTGAGTTTGGGAGGGTTCCCCCAGTCCAGTCAACAGTGACAAAGATATTTCTTCCTAACGAAAGATGATGGGGATTCAGTGTAGTAAGGCAGATAGGCTTCTTTTAGGAAATGAAAGATTTCATCCACCATCTGACATTTATTTATTGAGCATCTACTAGTGCCAGGCTATTCTGGGCCATACGAATACAACTGCTAATCAAGCCCTGTTTGAGCTGACATTTTAGTTGGGAGTGGGAGAGAAAATAGCTAAGCAAGTGGATGTGTAGTATCTGATCATAGAAAGGCCTATGAAAAAAAGCAGAGTAAGAGGACGGCAAGGGACAGAGGGGCTCTGTTTTACACTGAAGACATGGCATCCGAGCAAAACTCTAAATGGAGTAAATGACACAGAAAAAATAAATGTCTTGGGGGTATCAGCATTAGCAATAATGTGCTTGTATTGATGGAAGGACCATGCTTTTCCTTCCAGGAAGCAGGGACCTAGGTCATATGGTGAACATGCCAACTGTAAAACATCTGATTCTTTCGAAGTATATTCATTCATTCATTCTCTCATTCATTTTCTCAACAAAGGCTAAGTAGGCATCTACCTGCCTCAGTTTCATGCTGTGGATGAAGGTGTAAACAAGGTTTTAGTGTGTAGGAGGTAGTCAAGTATATCAAGCCCAACAGCACTGGTGCTGTGGACAGGCTGGCAGAGGAGAAGAGTTGAGGCACATCACCATTTGTGACATTTTAGGGATCCATTTGACTAAGGAAAATATATTTAAAAGCATTAAATTCTGTAATGCTGGTCATCCAAAAATTTAAGCCATCTAATCATTTCTTTAAATAAAATTTTATTCAGAAAGTCTGATATAGAACATTAAAATGAGTTGCTCTGGCACAAAATCGGGGACATAGGGATACCTTCAAAAACATCACTTAGGACAAAAATCACTACCCAAAGCACTCGTTATGGCTAAGAAAAGAAATCTATCCAGTGGCCACTAAAACTTGTTTACCTCCTACCACTAAGGTAAACCAAATTTGGGGACCCATTCCATTATCAAAACCATTCAGTTACTTCTGGCTTGAGTGAAATGGGATAAACCTCTGCCCAAATGAGAACTGATTCAGCTGGGGTTTTTTTTCCCCTGCTCTTCGAAGTCATCAAATCCACTTATTACTGCCCAGAACAGCCCAAATGACCCATAAGCTCAATTTAAAGGGTTCATCATTTTAGTTTTTTCTGCTTCTGGGCAGAGGTCACCACCTTCATTTACATTAAGAATCATCTCTTCTTTGAAGAGGGCAGGTAACCCACCTGGTTTTGTATGGCCCTAAATTATTCTCTAGAATGTTCTCATATGAAGAATGCTTTCTTCTCACTGGAGCACGTAAACAAATGGATGCTTGTTATACGTTCACAGTTCCCTGGCACACATTCTCTCGTTCATGCACACGCCACAGGCCGAGGTAGGCTTCCCAGTTCCGGCCAGGAACCCACTATCCTGGTCATACTAACCTGCCACCTCCTCTTTCTTCTTCTCTCCGCAGATGACAGCAACTGCTCAGGCTCCCTCTAAGACCCAGGCTGTCCACATCTCCGCCCCCTCAGCTGCTGCCAGCACGCCTGTGCCCAGTGCCCCCATTGATCCCCAGGCCCAACTAGAGGCTGACAAGCGAGCTGTGTACAGGTAGGAGACACTTGAGCTGTGTCCGGAAGCCCCCCGGCAGCCTCCGGCCCAGCTCAGCCCTGAGAGATGAGCACACAGGCCAGCGGGTGGGCTCATAAAGACCACGGCCAACAGCCGCTCTTCTCACTGCCTTCTCTCTCAAATCAGTCTGGACATCCCTCAGCTGGCCGCTGTGGGTTGACACCAGCTTCCTGGGATTGTTTAGTAAGGGGCAACAAAACCTGGGGAAGAATCTTCCAGAAGGATCCTTTCCTCATCCCAGCTGGGGATTGAGCCCTCGTGGGTGTCTGAAACCCTCAGCTCAGCTGACAGCCACCTTGGGATGCTTTCCTTGCACATCCCCCGTTGTTGCCTTCACTCCCACAAGCCCACTGGACCACTGGACATCCGCCCGTACCCTCTAGGACTTGGTATCACACAAACTTTAGTATGCCTGAAAAATCATTGGAAGAGCTTATTAAAATGCATAGTTCTGGGCTCCATGCACAGAAATGCTGAATCAGTAGGTCAAGCTATAGGAAAAGGAATATGAATGTTTAAAAAGCATTCCAGATGAATCTAATGCAGCTGGTCCTTGGACCACATCTGGTTCGTGGTTGTCTTTATTTTTTAGCGAGCGCTGTGGTGTGTGGCCATGTAGGTTCCAGCGCCCTCCCTCCAGATGGGGAGTTCGCTGAGAGCAGGGCCAGGCCCTGAATGTAGCAGAGGGTGAGATGGGCTCGGGGGCTCTCTGTTCTGTGTATGGGGTTGAGAAGATGCAGCCCTCTAGGAGCAGCCCTGAATGAAGCTCCAGCAGGGATCTTAGTCGTTACGTTTCTGTGGGGAGCCTACACCACTAGAACAGCTGCCCAAGTCAGCACTGAGTATTGAGGTTGGACCCTTGCTCACATTCACTTGTGTGAGCACGTACATTCACATGCATTGGCAAGCACGTCTTACCTGTGCCCTAGCACTCGCTACGGCAGGTGCCAAGATCAGGAACACGTGGAATGGTCCACCCAAGATGAACGGAAAGAGGATTGATTTCTTCCTCACTCCTCCCTGCAACGACAGTGCTTTTATGGTAATGTTGGTAATTATTGCCATTACTATCATTATCGTCGGCATTATTTTTAGCTCCTCGGATGAGCTGAATGCCTCTAATTCCAACACGGAGTCCAGAGCAGTGAGCCCTGATCCAGAGGTACTGCCACGAGGGTCTTCCGCAGCCCTGGTGGGAGGATAAATCACCGTGCCTGTGCCCCCCCCTGCCCAATGCACAGGCCAGGTACAGAGCCCTGCCTTGGACCCCAAAGAACTCCCAGACCTGGTCACAGTACCTGTCAGAGAGACGGAGCACACCTGTCCTCCTTTCCCTCCTTCCTTCACATTTATTTATTGAACACTCACTAGAGTATGTGGAGCCGTTGGGCTGGACTCCAGGGGATAGAGGGTAAACCTGTAAAAGCAAATGGGTGGGCTTTTCCCTGTCTCTCTAGGAACGGACAGATATGCAGACAAGAAAGCAACACGGTGTGGTCAGAGGAGGCAATATTTGAGTTTGAGCATAAAGGCTAGTAAGAGAGTCCACTGGAAGAAGAAATGGGCTGGAGTAGGGCCTTCCAGACAGAGCAGAGCCTCCATGTTCCAAGGATGGCCACTGGCCAGAACAATCAGGTTGGGGAGGTGAGGCTGCCTGGGCACCTGGAAATTAATGGCAGGGTGGGCTCGTGCTTATGTGGGGGGCGGGAGAAGGAAGAGGAGAATCCCATGGCCTCTGAAAATGGCCTGATTGTCCAATGGCCTGGGAGCACAGCCATCATGCTCCATGTAGATCATCGCTACCTACAGTATGGCCCAGGGGCTAGCAGCATTGAGTCACCTGGGAGCTGTCTAGAGATGCAGACCCTCGGGTCCCCCTCAGACCACGTGATTTGTATGCACCGTCTTAGGCACCTTTGCAGACTCCTAGGGGACAGGGACCTGTAATGAGCACAGATCATAGTCTAGAAAGACCCCTGGCTAGTGGTACAACCAAGTTTCTGGAAACCCAGGCTTGAGTCCTAACTCCTTTGTGTACTAATCTCTCTGAGCTCTAGTTTCACCACAGAAGCTAACCAGTAGGCTTAGTAAGATCACTGACAGCCCATGTAGGCACCTGGCACTGTGTCTAGCACAAAGCAAATGGGTTCCCCAGCCCTTCCCAAGATCCCAGGCTCATTCCCCACCTAAGCCAACCTGCAGGAGAAGTGGGTCACCTCTCCCATGGGAGCAATCCATCATAATGTCACTTGAAATATAAAGGGCCAGATCTTCCTCCAACTAACACTTAGTCCTGCTCACCTTCACCCCTGAGCTTTATCTTCTCCCACTGGGCTGAGCCCCCAACAGCCCTCAGCATTTGCACAAATCATCTCTGCGGGTGTCTGACCATGAAGAAGGAATCCCAGGTTGGTCACCACCAACTGCCCAGCCAAACATGGCTGCCCAGCATCTCAGGACAGCCGACACCTTTGCCTGGCTGTTCTCTGCAGTCCTTCCTGCCCCAGGGACCCGGGGTTTTTTCCCATAACCACACCTCTCCCATTAGTACCAGCTGCTCTCTCTACAGCCATTGCCGGATGACCGGGGAAGGAGCTCAGCCTCCTGAAGGGTCGGGTAATTTTAATTAGATTTGCCTGCCTTGGGGCAGCCTGGCTGCTCCAAAGCACATCAGGGAGTCGGCATTTTATGTCAATAAATGTAACAAGACTCTCTCCATTCAGATTAGTGCCCAGCACGGACTTTGGGGAGACCCCACCACGGCCCCTCCCAGAATCACAGATGAAGGAAGGGTGGAGGGGGCCCTTTTCTGACCAGGCCCCCTGCAGGACAGCAGGGGGGACAGTGTGACAAAAGAGAAGGGTGTGCCTGTGAGCCCAGGGAGCCTGCCAGTGCCCCTGAGATTTTATTTGTGTATGAGGACGTGTTAATGAAATGTATTGGTTCCTTCTGATGTGGAGTGTGTGTGTGTTTGTGTGTGTGTGGGGGGGGGGGGGGAGAAGGGAGGCAGTCTGTCTTTAATTGGATCATACCAGAGCATCATCTGGGCTAATCAGCAAGGCAACCAGGAGCTCCTGCTCAGATTAATGATTTCAGTCTAATCCTAGCAGATCCCATGATTGGATGCACATCGCGGGTAATTGTGTTTGTGGCCTGAGAGCAATGCTGAGAAGGGGGTCCAAGGAGGGGTTGCCCCGTGCAGCAGGGACCACAGGTTTGGACCTAGCTCAGTTCTCTTCTTCCTTAGCCCCCGCCTCAACCCTGGGGCTTTTCCCCCAAAAAAGTTCAAACTTAGCTTGGACACCCCTCCGCACCCCACCCCTCCCCATCCCTCCATGCTGCTGGGCAGTGTTGGCGCTGTCCTGGGGACCTGGCCCTTAGGTCAGGTTGCCAGGCCCAGAGATGGGGCCAGGAGGGTGAGGTTAATCCAGCTTTCACTCTCCCTCCTCCCCTCCCCTCCGGTCTCCTCCATTCCCCTTTGAAGTGAGTGGGTTCCCATGGAAACCGTGATGTCCTGGGGAGCAGAAGAGTGGCAGGGAGCTAGGCCTGGCCAGGTGCAAGAGGGGGAGGAGGGCGGCTGGGCTGAGACGCTTGGCTGGGGAGGCTCTGCTGGGGCGTTGGTTCCCCCCCAGCAGGCTGCCAAGCTCCCTGAGAACGGGGAAGGGGCCTGCCCAGCGCAGAAGTTACCAGCTATTAATGGGGAAAGCTGGGCTGCAGGCTTGAGCTGTGAGGACGTTGTGGGGGGCGGGGGGAGGGCAGGGAGACAGTGTGCTTGGCTTCTGCGTTTAAATTGCTGGAGAATTGAGCTTTGGGGTGGGGGGGGTGGCTGCTGCCCCCTGTGCTTCCCTTCCCTGGCGTGGCTTGAAGTTGAATTGATCAACCTAACAGTGCTTCTGTTTCCCCTACTAGATCAGGAACTCCATGAGGGCAGGGTCTGTGTCTGTTTTATTCATTGGTCCATCTCTGGCGCCTTATACAACACTTTAGAGTTGGCAGCTTGGACGGAGTAGGCACCAAAGCAATGCTCATTGAATGGATTCATTCAAAAGGCAGTAACCCCCGCCCCCAAAAAAATATACACAGTTCTAGGCTGGTATGCTGGCCAACCGGCTCTTGGGAGAGGGGAGCGAGAGCCCAGCCCTGATTTGTAGCTTGTGCTGATTTGCATGCTGTAAACACTCCCACCATGACCCATTTCAAGCTACCAAGGTGATACCACTGAACAGAGTTGTGAAGAGGGACCTGGTTGGCTCTTGCCTGCCCGAAGTACACACCCCACACAGGCAGCCACGCTGCAGGTCCACGGTCTCTGATTTTAAACAAATCAGTACATCTTTTCTTTAAAAAAAATATTTATTTAATTAATTATTTATTTAAAGATTCTATTTATTTGAGAGAGAGAGAGAGCACAAACTGGGGGGAGGGGCAGAGGAAGAAGCAGACCCTGTTGAGCAGGGAACCTGACATGGAGCTCCATCCCAGGACCCCAGGATCATGACCTGAGCCGAAGGCAGATACTCAACCACTGAGCCACCCAGGTCCCCCTATGTATGTATGTATGTATGTATGTATGTATGTATGTATTTTTTAGAGAGGGAGAGGGGGCAGGGACAGGGAGAGAGAGAGAATCCCAAGCAGGATCCATGCCCAGCTCGGAGCCCGACATGGGGTTCCATCTCACAACCCTTGAGATCATGATCCGAACTGAAATCAAAGAGTCAGATACTTATCCTACTGAGCCACCCAAGCGCCCCCCTTTTTGGGCAACCAGGGGGAGGTAAACAGGTCAGTACATCGTATAATCAGTTCTTTAAATTGATTTTATTCATGCCCTTAGCCATGCTCCTACATTTCTCAGTCCTCACTGACCTGTCGGGTATACCCCTGGGTTCTAAACGTAAAATGTTCTCTCTGAATGAATTAATACTTCCACCAGTGCCTGGCACACAGTAGGCATTTGCAATTATGCCTTTTCACCT